AGTACACTCTTTATCTTGAGGAATGGTTACCTTTTAAGGCAAAGGGACATGGAATAAGGGCATGGTGAGAGGAACAAAAGCACAGAGACACAGAGACTGGAAAGAAAAGGTTGCTTTGGAAAGAAGAAACAGCCATTACTGGGTAAGTACAGGACGGCAGATGGTGCTGACCAGATACTGTCATACTTTAGAAAGCCCAGACAGGGGCCAGTGAGGTTCAGGAAAGGGAACCTTGTGCTGAGAGCCTGACTCGATGGTCTAAGTCTAGGATTGGCTACCCACTAATTATGTGGCCCTTGGTCATCCATGTGTCTAAGAAAAGCTACAGGAAAGGGTTGCTAATAACTGTCTTGCCTCCCTCACAGGGCAAGTGCAAAGTGTAATATCAATGTGGGGGGTTATTATTTTCTCCACCTCCAGATGTAACTATATATACACCTATTCTTAGGTCCCTGACCCTGTCTCAGAGAAGTTTTCTTTCTTGTTCCTATTGTTAGAGCTACCTTCCAGCCTCTGCCTTGGTGTCAATGATCTCCTATATTTCAAGTATTTTTAGTATTTCTCTCTCTCTCTCTCCTGGGTATTTCTTCTGTTTCTGCACAAGCCCTAATCTCAAAAATTAAATACAATATAAAGAGTCTTCTTTAGATCCTCCATATCCTTCAAAACACCATCCATTTCCCTTTTTCTCACTGAAGGATTTTTGAAAAATAGACTACCTTCCTACCTCCTCTTCTTAACTTCTAAGCACCGGTAAGCACACTCCAACATTCTTAGGTGGTTCTTCAAGCCATACTGGCTGAATCTTCAGCTTGTTCCATCCTGCTGGATTCCAGCTGTCCTGTGAAATCCTAGTGCCCTGGCTTCTTCGACAACACCCTTTCCTCTTCCTCCTCCCTCCTATCAGGGTCACTAGGATTCTTCTGACCTCAAGGTTTTTCTCATTGTTCCCAGAACACTTATCAACAGTCCAACTGAAGATGAGTCACAGATATCTTCTGATTTTCCCTCCCCCAATCCAATCCAATAATTTCCAACTGCACTGTCAAAAGTTGGTTTGGATCTTCCAGGCCACCTCAGCCCTGGCTTCTTCACAGACGAGGCCATCTTCTTCTCCTCTGTTTCACCTGCTCTAAATCTGTGGTTGCATATACAGTAGAACTTCTGTAAGTTGACCACCCAAGGGAATGTACCATACAGGTCAACATAAGGAAGTAGGCCTACTGTAGTGATGTAAGCATGTGGTACATGTCTGGTCTATGAAAATTAGGTCAACTTAAGGAGGTGGTCAATGTAGGGAGGTGATCAACTATTCTACTGCATATTTTTTAGTGGTCCCACCATCATTTTGTCATTACAGCTTAAAAGTTTTGACTCATTAAACTTCCTTACATAGTCTTATAGGTAGGCAGTCACCAAATCTGGTTAATTATTGGCATGTCTCTGAAGTAATTCATTCCTTTTTTTGTTCACATTGTTACTATTATTTGAGAAGTGTTCATTTATTTACTGGATTGTTGTAATCGTTTCCAGAAAGGTCTTCCTGACACCACTCTGTTTAAATCAGCATGATTTTCCATATTCCTGATAGTTCTCCTCTAAAGACAGAGCTGGTCATGCTTTAAAACTTCCCATTCCTCATTTGCAGAATAAAGTCACAATTCCTTATTATGGCACTCAAAATCTTTTACAATCCAGCTCTATGTTAACTCTCCAAATTCATCTCCCACTGCTCTCCTGCATTCTCTGTCAGTAAAAACTCTGTAGGGCAAAGGCCCAGATCACATGTCCTCTTCCCTATTCCCCAGATAGAATTAAGTTACCTTTTCTTTGTACTCATAATGTATACATTTCAAATTGTTCTTAGAATCACCATTATCACTCGGAATTGTAATGGTGCCTCTGTCTCTTCTAAAATATTGTAAGCTCCAACATTGTTTTTTAGTTACCTTTTGCTGTATAGCAAATTACAAGATTAAAATAGTAAATATTTGTTATCTTACAGTTGCTGTGAGTCAGGAATTTGGGAGGTAGCTTACCTGGCTGGTTCTGGCTTAGAATCTCTCACAAGGTTGTAGCTGAGGGATCAGTGGAGGTTATATTCATCTGAAGGCTTGACTGGGGCTAGAGAAACTGCTTTTAAGGTAGCTCACTCACATGCCTGGCAAGTTAGCGTTGATTGTTGGCAGGAGGATTCAACACCTTGCCACGTAGACCCCTCCTTAGGACTATGAGTATCCTCCTGAGAAAGTGATCTAAGAGAAAAGAAAAACCCCAAATGCCTTTTATGACCTTAGAAGTTACACATCATTACTTACGGTATATTTGATTTGTTAGCCACTAAGTCTAGCCTACGCTTAAAGGTAAAGGAATGAATTGCCACCTTTTGGGTAGACTGTTTTTTTTTTTTTTTTTCCCATCAGGCCCAAGCCAGGTTCAAACCCACCCACCCCTGTGCACGGGGCTGGTGCTCTAACCATTGAACTATAGGCACCCAGCCTGAATTGCTACCTCTTGAAAGGAAGAGTATCACAGAATTTGAGGATGTATAGATACATGCCACATAATGGTATTTTTTCCCTTTTTTTTTTTTTTTGAGGCTGAGTCTCACTCTGTTACCCTGGGTAGAGTGCCCTGACATCATAGCCCACAGCAACCTCAAACTCTTGGGCTCAAGTGATCCTCTTGCCTTAGCCTCCTGAGAAGCTAGGACTATAGGTGCCTGCCACAAGGCCCAGCTAGTTTTTCTATTTTTAGTAGAGATGGGGTTTTGCTCTTGATTGGGCTGGTTCTGAACTCCTGAGCTCAGTGATCCACTCACTTCCACCTTCCAGAGTGCTGGGATTACAGGCATGAGACACAGTGCCTGGCCCACAGTGAACCACATAAATCATGGTGGTCCCATAAGATTATAATGGAGGTTAAAAAATCATTATTGCCTAGTGATGCTGTAGTCATCATGGAGTCATAGCACCACACATTACTCATGTGTTTACTGGTGCAAACAAACCTACTGCCATGCCAGACATATAAAAGTATAGCATATACAATTATATCAGGATATAGAGTACTCCTCTGCAGGGTTTCAAAGGGATGAAATATCAAACCATGCATCTAAGAACCCTGAGTCTAATTGTTTAATTGTACTTCAAAGGGCTCAGGGCTGGAGTCAGCAGTTTGAGCAGTGTCTAATCCATCCCCTTTTACTTCAGGATTCTAATTTATACATGTGGAGGACTCTCAGCTTAAACTCATTTTTATGTAGTTGACACCATCCTGCTTTTTGCAGGAAATTCCCACCACAATGTCCTCTCTACAAATAGTCATGGGGCAATATGGGGGAACTATGGAGTTGAATCATCTGATATGCTGGTATTCCAGTTTTGACCCATAAAGAAAGCAATTTCTGGGGCGGCGCCTATGGCTCAAAAGAGTAGAGAGCAGGGCACTGGCCCCATATGCCGGAGGTGGCGGGTTCAAACCCAGCCCCGGCCAAAAACTGCAAAAAAAATTTTTTTTTTTCATAGAGTTCAACCTAATTAATGTGGTTGCATGTTTAAAATTTTAACATCTTCACAGAAGAATAACAAAGTGCTCCAGAGTTCTTAATCTGTTTCTCCCAAGACTAAGGTCCAACTTTAAGGAACACCACTCTTGAAGTTAAATAATGCTTAGCCCAAAATAGGAATTCTTTATTCATTTCCTTCAGAGTCAGATAAGGGAATTAAAGACCCAAGACTCGGCTAAATACTGGAGTCAAATTTAGAAAGGAAAAATTTTCCATCCCGTCTCAATCACATTTCAACACTGTGCCATTTTTAAGAAATCATATTTACTTAAAACTGTGGACCTAATAATAAAGGGAATAAGAATTAAATAGTTCTTTGTTCATGTCGCATTTCTGTGCATCTAGAAAGTGATTAGTTGACTCCATTACTAGTAGGATTAAATCCAATATTTGCGAATATAAATTAGTTTATTACAAAGACCTTTTGTCTTTCCAGGAGCACTTTTAAGACTCAATATTAAATAAAAACTTTCAATGAGAAAGTTTCTTTTTTATTCTTTTGTGTTTATTCTCCCACTTCTTCACATCAATTAATACTGAAGGCAGACTTTGGGTGAGACCTGTAAAACTTAATTTACTTAATTTACCCTCGTAAGATGAGGATCCCAAAAGTTGGAGGGCAAAACTGTCACCATCCACCCACTCCCCTCTCTGGGACACTAAGCTCCCCCAGGCAGGGTCTTTTGTTTGTTTGCAGCATA